TATGATGTATCATTTATCTCCTGGATAGAAATGATCTGGTAAAGGTTTCTAGCAGCTGAGAATGAAGGGAAGAATGGAAGGAAGGAATAGGATAAAAAAAATCCTATTGGGAAACAAAGCTTGCTGCAGTTCTGTCCCTAAAATATGAAACTGGCTGAAGCAGCTGAGAAGATTCACATAAGAGACATATAGAATTTGATAACAAGGATTAAGGAAAAATTAAATCATAATCCAATCTTCTGTTCTATTACTAGCAATGTGGGACATGTTCAAGTGTGCCTATGTTTGTCTGTGTCAGCAGGATGGTTCAAACTCCAGTGTTTGATACCAAGGCTATTGCTCTATCCTGTGAAGAAAGAGGTTTCTAAAGGGCAAATTGTATAGAATTAGTCAATGAGAGTCATTACACCAGCTGTGTCCTTTCAAACATCCGCTTCTCTTTGGACTGCAAGGAGCTGAGTTGAGTCTATGCTAGGCACTGTCATAGTTTGAGATGTACCAAGACTTCCCTCAGTGATTTAGCACTTCACTGCTGGACTTTTTTTCATCTGTGTTACAACATCCAGGAGTTAAGAGACCTTGTGCCGAAGTGGAAAACAGATTAAATTTACTCAACACATCACACTAGCCATATGCCTTTCCAGGATATAGTAGAACCAGATTAGGGAACAGTCTGTTCTCTATTTGACTTATTAAACCTGAGTAGAAGAGAAAAATAAATAGCACGAGAAAATCAACGATTCTAGAGAGACTGAATATTATCTACATGTAAAAATAGGGGAGGACTCAAAACAAAGAAGCAGTCTGGACAAGATTGTGACCTTACTACTTTTTTTCATTTAGTGAAAGTAGTTGCTTCGTGTTCAACTTTGCCTAAGCAAGCACCAAACTGATAGGACACTACTGGGGACTTGAGGGATATTTTATTTCCAATCAGTGAAGCCTAGCTGAGAGGCAGTCATTCAGCTACCTGCACTTGGACAATTCAGTGTGCGCACCTGCTTTGATGAATAGAGATTTTTTCAGCTTTCCAAAGAGGCATATCAGTTTCAAGTACTTTCAAACTGGAGAACTCATTAGAGTATCTGTGTTTTATTAAATAGCATGTTTCATTGGCCCAGTGTTTCCTGTGGAATATTTTGGGTTTCAAGGTAGAAAGACACACATAGTCCTAGAATCAATGGCCATTATCTATTTTAGCTGCTGATTTAGGATAATCTGAAGGCTGTACTGCCAAGCTTGTAGAAACCTTCTGATGAGGAAAGGGTCCGGGTCACTTGTGGGATGGAGAAATCATGTGTCTGAGCAGGGATCTGAATCTTTTTCACAAGAGACTGTCTGTTGTGATGAATCCTTTGTCACTTGTGGAGGTTAAAACTGTACATAAAAAGTATTGTATCAGTTCTGGGGTGGGGTTGAGGTAGAGACGGGAAGGTATTTAGGCCTCAAGTATTTCCCATAGTTTAAAGGGTGTTTTTCCTTGCACTGCTGTGATTTTAGTTTTCTGACATATCCTCTGACTGTCAAGAACAAGGAGGATAGATATAGCAGTCTTTGTTACATTTGTGAAAGGCATTATCAGACAAAAAGTTTGTAGTTCAGAAGGGATTTTGGTGTGAGGAGTGCTGAAATTCATTTCTGTGTAACTATGAACCATTGTAAAAAGGGACCTTTATTGTCCTGTAACTTCGAGTGAGCTACCACTGTGAGACACATGAAAAATTATTCAGACCTCATATCTTATTAAACTGAACTACTTTGTTGCTCCTTATTTTTAGAGCATGTAGTTCTGTAAAAGTTACAGGTAGTTATGTTCCCAGAATAATAAAAGTACCCAGAATGCACAGCCATAAAACATCATTGTACTCTTGTCGGGAATAAAAGAAGGTAAGAGTCAGACAAAAGTCAAACCAAGTTTGTGTGATATCCTGTTTGCTAGACTTGGGTTTCATTGGGCTGCAAGAATGGCGATTCCCAAGAAGGGAAGGATTAAATGCAAGAAATATTCCTGTCCTATAAACAGACTCTCAGCCTTCAAATTATCACAAAAGTAGTAGGGTTTGTTGAGATAGGACAAGGGGTAGTGGTTTTAAAATAGAAAGGTTGATTCAGACTAGTACTAAGGATTTTTTTTTATGATGAAGGAGGTGAAGCATTGGAACAGTTTAGCCAGAGAGGTGGTAAATGCTCCATGCCTGGAAACATTCAAGGTCAGGTGCTCTGAGCAACCTGATCTAGTTGAAGATATCCCCACTCACTGCAGGGGGCTGAACTAGAGGTCCTTTAAAAGACACTTCTGACCCAAACTATTCTATGATTACAGTAGAAAAAGGAATTAGACTCAGAATGTCATGGACAACTCAGCCTCCAGCTGAGAATGCAATTGTGTTAGCCTATTAAATCAGATAGAAGTGCACATGCACACAATGTGTACGTGTAAGGATATGTTCAAAGCCTTTCCCTCAAGGCTGAGCAAGTGTCTCAAAACTCTTCTTTCTCACTGGGTGTATTAAAGAATAAGTTTTAAGGGGATCCATGAAAAATGGGATCGCTGAATATGAAACTCTTTAAAGACTATAATCACTCTTTGAAAATTGTCCTGTCAGAAAACTCCCAGTTCACGGTGTTCCCAGTGTTGATATTTCAATAACTATAGTGGCTGGTTCAAAAATACAGAAATCATTAGAAATAAACCCCATTGCATATGAAGTGTAATTGGCAATATGAAATTACTGTGATTTGGATTTTCTAAAATAGGCTGTTGTGCTAGTCAGCAGTTAGCCCACAGAAAATAAATTAGATATAATGATATATGTAATGAAAAATACCTGCCCTGAAACCCATAGGATCTTAATTTTTCAGTGTATGATGAGATTCAGAGTTGTTTCACTTACATAGCTTAGTTGAATGTAGACCTTCAAGCTGACATTGACACACTTAGAGAAACCTCTTCAGTAAGATGCTGGCACTGTGGCACCTCTTATTGCTAGAAAGATCATTGAGATCTACTATAATGTATAGATTTGTTAATGCTACTAATAAAGTAATGCATGTATTTTATCCTATAACATTTGGAGCTTTTTCCTTTTTATCATGTAACTCTTACACTGAGCCATGAGAGAAAGACAAGTCTTAGAACTTGAGTACTTGATAAGAAATAAAAATCCCAAAATATATTTAAATGCCAGGTATTGGTACAGAATTGTATGGGTGAGGCTTAGGTAGCACTTAACTGCCATGACATGGATTTAAAAAAAATGGTAAGGCTTCAAAAAGAATTTTTATGTATAATGGAACTTTCATATACAATACAGTTTTTAAAATTTATTGCTTACAATAATTTCAGTTTTGAAAATCCCAGCGGGAAACATATTCCTGTTTAGGAACAAAAATACTTTTGCTTTTGGATGTCACTTAATTAAATGCTTAACCCTAAAAGTCACTGCTGTACCAGTTTGTTTGGAGATCAGTCAGTTTGGTTCAGGGAGAGACAGACATGCATTGGTGCTTTCTGCATGTGAACATGCATCTGTACAGAGGTCTACAGAAGTCTGGAAAATTGTTAGTATTTTGGCTATGCTTCTTTTTTTTGGTAGTATTTGGCATAGTATTTGCATTTCTGAACAATTATACAGTTAGTTAATAAGGTCGTTCAGAATCCATGGTCCGTGTTTTTTTCTTACCTAAGGTTGCTTTAAGTGAGAGGGCACAGTTTATTTGTGGCCTCTAAGGAGAGAGTATCTAATGGAAAAACTTTGTAGGCTGAAAGACATTAAAAATGTTTGGCTATAATAGTGCACAACAGTTTATTATATCTCTACTTTTCTGCCAAGGGCCAAGTCACCCAAGGGCACTTCATAAAAAAATGATGATCTGAAGCTGACATTGCAGACAGACTTACCATTTTATCTTCAGGTTAATGTGATAGTGTTGGCCAGTGCTTAAAATCATGCCTGACAACAATGTCACTGAATCATCTGCAAAGGCACTAATCATTTTTTACTTCAGTATCTTTTTTAATATAACAAGGATTACTGAGAGATTTCATACTTAACACAGAACTGTAAAATATTTTTTCTCATAATATGGCTAATAAAAAATACTTTCCTAAGACAAAATAACTGTTGAGCAGAACTACAATTAGTATTGGTGATATACTAGCTGAATACTTCATCAAACAAATTTCTGTCTGCTGTTCTTATGGAGTGGTCGTTGGCATTTTCTTTTATGGTATTATGTAATACCAGAATTACCTTCTTTTTGTAGGTGATAACAAAAAATAGACAGACTCTCTCTGAAATGCCAGATTTTTGCTTTCTATCTATAGGGAACTGCGGTCTTCTGTGAGATAATTTCATGGTTCCTCAATTTTCTGATTTCTTTGTTAGGACCATGACATATTAATAACTTTATTGTGTGCCAACAGAGCATTGTGATTAGAATTCAAAAGCAGGATGGAAAACAAACAAACAAACAAACAAATCAACCTCCCAACACCCTCAGGAATATTCAAACATCACTATGGAAAACTAATTTTTTTTTCCAGCTTGGAACTCACAGACTATATAAAAGATTCTGTTAGATTCTGCATTATGCTGCTGTCAGTTGAGCCGTGCTGCACACACTGTTGAATCACCATGTGGCATATTGGTGTAGAGGCTTCTGTCTGTTAAAATAGATTACACAGGGCTAACTCTATTGTCATTCCTGTTTTCTTGTCCAGACATACTGTTTTTTTTCTAAAAATGTGTTTGCTGCAGCATCTTTGTTACTTTTATAAGAATGAGGTTTCATGAATATTATGTTGTTTCTACCACCTACTCTTAAGATTATGAAGCCAGCAGGAAACAGTCATACTCTGCTATAATTAAAAACAGCCGAATCCAAGGGTCCTTTTGATGTTCCCTTCCACCCTGTACTCTTAAGATAGCTGCTTTGTTTTCCTTCCTTTATTGAATCAATATAACATTAATTTTTATGTTGTTTCTTTTCTTCCCCAGATGTACATCCAGACAACAACACTTACTATCTCCATGAGTTTAAGTGCTTCTGTGTCTCTGGGCATGCTCTACATGCCCAAGGTTTATATTATAATTTTTCACCCAGAGCAGAATGTTCAAAAACGGAAGAGGAGCTTCAAAGCTGTGGTGACAGCTGCTACAATGCAAAGCAAACTGACACAGAAAGGAAACGACAGACCAAATGGAGAAGTCAAGACTGAACTGTGTGAAAGTCTTGAAACCAACAGTAAGTCATCTGTAGACTTGGTCAAGAGTGGCAGCACATCTTAATAGATGTACGTTCACAAGAATGCACTTTCTTTTAATAATAAACTTAAACTTATTTCTGTTGCTTGTTCTGCATGAATCCAGAGATGTGTCAGAATTCATGTACTGCTGAATGCAGGAATGTCTAAAGCTGTTTCAAAGAAATTGATTTTCACAGGAGGCTAGTAGAAAAAGAAAAAAAGCACAAGCAGATTTTGAAACGCCACATCTTTTAAAAATTGTTTGTTTTAGCTAGTGCTATTTTGATGTGTTGTACATTGCTGTGCCAGTGGTCTGTCCTGACAGTTCATGAGGTGTATTTATGGTCATCATTGTATATTCAAAAGTCAAAGGCTGTTGAAAAAAAACGATAATGAAAACAGCTAGCATTGTTTTTATTTTGCAGTCAGGTATGGAAGTGGAAATAATGCTTTTTACTTTTCTACCTTAATATTTGTTGGATTGTTCATTTATCACAACTCATGAGTAACGCTTCCCAGCATAATGCTTCCCATCCAGGCTTTTGTTCTGGTCTCACTCATCTTGGTACAAAATCATGATAATTTGTGTGAAGCTTAATCATTACATGTTCTGATATATCGTAGGTTTTTAATGGGAAAAAAATTATTTCCCATGTCAGGAAAGTTCTTGAATCTTGCTACATCTCTAAGTTGCTCTGGTATAGGAGAAAACAGAGGTTACAGCTCCCATTCCAGCACATGACATATCATTTTATAAACTGGACTTCATAATAATAATAATGATCAACTATGAGCAAAGACATTAACCTTGTACCCAGTGCTTAGAAATGGAGAACTTTTTTCTTAATGTCACATTAGATGGGCAGCAGCTGTGACAGCTAAGCTTTTCAGTGATTTTACTGCAAACAACATGGTTTAATTTTAATTTTTATTGCTTTTGGATGATATTGGTGTTTAAATAGTACTGTTTTGATTAAGGACATTGACAGAAGGCAGGACCAAGTTTGCATTAAAATACTGTACTTTTTTTTCTGAAAATTTAACCCCCCTACTGAAATCTATCAGAGTTTGCCAGATTGAAGACTATATAAAAATAGGCCATAACTCTATGATACTGTACTATACCATGCTTGCTGATGCATGGAGGATACTGAGTACAAACTGTTCCACTGGAAAAACTCATGACCCTTCAAAATGTGTAAAACTGCTAAGGTGAGCTATGGGGTTATGCAGCTTCAGATTGAGACATGTAACAGAAGACAACAAGAAAGGCATAGAATAGGAATATGAAGGACTCAGTAATTTTACAATTCTTCAGAAAACTTAGAAAGAGAACAAGAAAAACAGACATAGATTTTGCTGAGTGTACAAAATCATAAACTTCCAAGGAGAGGATAAAGCAGGGTTTTCACAGTAGGGTGAGAAAGAGTGTCAATAAGAAAGTCTCGGGTATCTGATGTTTATCTACTGTACTTAATTAAGAAATGCTGCGACTGGTATTCCTTAAACTAAGATTATGCATAATTCATAGAAACAGATGCTACTGGAAGCAAGTCTGCTTCTCAAATAGTCCAAGAGCACAGGGTAATGCTTATTTACTGTGTTCTAAACATGACTTCAACAGTAACACATCTGTATAATTCTGAGCTCACTAGGAGTATATCCTGACCAGGTTCTCATCCATCATAATGTTTCATAGGCAAAAATTCAGTCAAGTCATTTGCATTCCAGGAAGCTCTGCCTATGTAATTGAGTTCTAGGCCTCCCTGAAACAAAGTCTTTATTGTCAAAGACATTGAAAGTTCCTGTGAATTTTAAGTGCACAATGCAGCATAGGTCCTTTTCACTGTGTTAATTGTAAAAACTTCTTGACACCACAAAATTTCTTCTTACACTGACTCTATGTGAGATGGATCTTTCTTTTCAGTGATAGCATATGAAACTGATTGCAAAATAACAGTCTACTTCTAGCATACCAAAAGTGGGCAGTGGTTGTTTCCCCCCATTTACCAAGCACAAACACTAGAAATGATGATGCAGTGCTCATAACTAGGTGAGAAACAGGATGAGATAGCCACATGATCCCTTTTGCTTCCCATCCAGAGACAACTCTGCTCTATCTAGTTTGTCCTGTACCATGTAACCCATGTTATTCTATGTTGTCTTCCACATGAATATGTTCATGGGTTTATTTGTGGCAATATGTCCATATTCAGTGAAAAACAAATTGTTTCTGGGAAGCAGGATAAAAAAAAAAAAAAAATCCAGGTATGGTTACAGAAGGCAATGACAAGTACATTAAATGAATATAGGTCAGATCACAATAATCATTCTACATTGCTTTTTTTTTTTTTTCTTTTTTTTCTTTTTTTATTTTTCATTCCAACAGCAAAGTAGTAACTGGTGCTGTAAAGGAGTGTTTATTCTCAGAAATATTTTGAGCCAAGTCTGTTACTATTTCTGGCCATCTAGGTTTGTCAAATGTGGTTCATGCCATTATTGTGAAATGCTAACAGTCTGAAAGAGCAGGACAGCTGCTGAAGCTTTCAGGTCCCCAAACATTAACTCTAGACTTATTCCACAGAACTAAAAAGACAAATGCAATATTTATAAAGTAAAAAACCAAAAACACTGTTTGGAGATGAGATTAGTTTTAATTTATTTCAAACTACTGTCTACATTAAATACCTGCATTATAATTTTTTAAAGTAACAGCACTCAGAACTCAACTGAATAATTTTTGTTTCTTGATCAACTCTAGATTAATTCTATCAAAACTATTTAATTCTCAGGTACACAACAAAGTTACAGCAATTTAATTTTATCAGCTGAGGTGTGGAAACTGCTATTTTTGAATTTTGTATTGTATTCTTGCAAATGTCCTCACATAATTCAGCTTCCTGAATTGTGATAAATCTGATTATATTACATTGCTTTGGGCTAAAAACATGCACATGTAAAGTTATCACAGAACTCAATTCAGCTCATACAGGATAATGTGGTAATCTAACTTAACTTGATCATGTATCTGACCTTACTTTCAGGGAAAGGGGAAAAACAAGTTCTCATCTTTCTATCCTTTTGTTCCCAAGTGTGCAGAGTTTGCAGATGAGCATTTTTCTGTTATTTATTAGCTGGGAAAAAAATCCTTCTATGCTTGAAGATCCTGATACCATTTCATCAGTCCTGCATTATTTTGAGTAGGAGCTCAGCAGGCCAAAAGAAAAAATAGAATCCTCTCAGAAATCCAGCTGTGGGAGCATGAGAGAGTTCAGACGGGAGCAGTACATCCCATTTGAAAGATCTGAAAGATGTAAATTAGGCTAGACTTGCTTCAAGTGTCCCAATACATGCAAATAAAGCTATTTCATGTTGGTGCTAGAATATTGTGATCAACTATAAGAAAGACTTGCTTTGTGTGCCAAAAGCAGTCCTTTCATGAACTAGTTTTTTCTAGACACAAAGTACTGGAACTACCTGTGCAAGTGAAAGGAAGATTCCATTTCGCACCTTTCATTTAATTATTCATGGTTATATATATATTCTTAGGTAAAAGGATTATAGTAATATGTGAATTAAATAGTCTGGCTCTGTTGTGTCTTAAAAAATAGCAAATGCACTAATTCCAATTGCTCAGAAAATCTAAGAAAATGAGACAAAAATCAAGAAGTAAACTTAGTCATACTAACCACTATTAATTTGTATCCAATTGGTGATCCTTTATTTAGTTAAATCTATGATGCAGAAGAGAGGAACTGTAATTTCTCAGTTTCTGTAGTCTGTTCTTCACAAACCATCAGATTGTTGGGCTGAATTTAGGAGTTAGGCTGAAGAATGCTTTTCCTATTTATCTCAGCTGTTCTCACCAGACCCTATATAGAAAAAAGAAAGAAATTGAAGAAAGGTATGGAAATAGAGTATTTGAATCTATAGACAAGGAAACTTTTTGCCATCCTGTTATTTTCATCTTGCCAGCTGCAATATTCACTATCATAAGCAGAACATGTCTGTAGCAGACAGAATATAAAACATATTTAGAAAGTCAAATTCTTCTTTATGCAGTGTAACATAGACCTTATTATAGAGAAATAAGAGACTCAGTCCCACATCAGTCTGAATTTCCATGTACCCAACTGATTTAAAATTATACACCTAAGTATGAGACCTGATGTAACCACTTTTCTCCTCCAACCATTACATTAACCTTGAGTGATATGACTTGAGTCATATTTTTATAGCATATTTTTTTATATTTCTTAATAGCAAGGATGTAAGGGCTAGAACCTGAAACAAACTTTCTTAAAAGATTCCTAGTTGTTCAGTTTTTCAGCAATAGTATAGCTGTTTAATTCTCTCAACATATTGCCTCATTCTGAACAAGGAGTATCAGCTTTGATCAAAAGAAGACATGATTAGCTGACCATCAACATAAGGAGACCATAATTTTCTCCAGCTAATATGTTCTGTAGGGACTATCTGCTCAGTTTCTCTAATTTGGAGAGGGTTAGGCTATGTTCCTTTCAAGGAGCATAAGTCTCATTTTGGATGGATAAACCACCACTAACTGCCATATTGTCTTCAAACAGTAGAACAGAAAGAAAAATCCAGTCTCTAAAGTAAAAAAAAAATTATGTAGAACTCAGACAAAATAGTACCAGGTGTTGAAATTCTGTTGTGGGTATGCTGAAACCACTCATCATTTTACCTCTGCTTTCCCAAGTCATAAACAAAATAAGTGGTCATAAACACAGAAATTGGAATCCAGTTTATACACTGCTTATATACATCCTTAAACATTCTTTATTCCATAAACATGGACCATATTGCTTGGAAATATAGTAGGACATTGTCTGAGTTCAAATGCTAAATATGTTTTTTTTCCTCCTCTCTTGATTCTAAAAATCCTGATTTTTTTTGTTTTTGTTTTTGTTTTTGGTTTGTTTCTTTTTCTTTTGATTTACAGCCTCCTCTACCAAGACAACTTATGTCAGTTACAGCAATCAGGCAAACTGAGCAGGGATGAAATGCACTGGAAGATCTGCAGGACTGGATCTTGCAAACATAGACTTTACCACCACCAGAATTCAGTCTTGAAAATATCAGTAGTCTACATTCAAATCAATAGTCAGTCTCCTAAAGAAAAAGGATTAAACAAAAGCAAAAGGCAAAAAGAGACAGGGGAAGGAAAAGTCCAGTTTTATAACATAGTGTCAAGCTTCTGAACTGTTCACTCACAAAAGGAAGCAAATCACAAAAGGAAAACAAATGTTAGCTTGTGAAAAAAAAAATGCTGTTGAAATAAATCATGTCTGATGTTATATTTGTAAGTACTTTTTTGTGATTGTGACAATTTCCTTTCCTGTCCTACATTGTTCAACTTGTAAAAGAAGATGAGTTTGTTTCTTGTGACGGCTGACTGAATTAAGTCCTGGGTTATGCTAAAAAAATGCAATGGTCAATGCATGCTAATTTTTATACAAAATAATTTATTTCTAATAATAAAGGAATGTTTTGCAAATGTTGAGACTTGTTTTGTTGCAGTTTTAAGGAAAAAAGTCCTTACACTGTTGTCTATTGTTTGTTTAGAATGTGCAGTAAAGGTGGGTGTACAAATAAAATAAAAATCATGGCATCAGAAGAATGCAGTGTAAACTCTAAGCATGTGTGTATGTATGCATGTATGTGTGCACCTGTGTGTGTACATACGTGCATGCCTGCCTGCATGCGTGTGTGTGTGTACTCTGCAGTGTGTGAATTTATTTGTTCAAAGCTTTGTGACTATATTTTCTAATGGAAGGATTTTTCCCTCTTACCCTCAAAGTAAGTTCATTTTATATGTTTGTAAAGTAAAGGAGTCCTGATAGTAATTATTTTGTATGATTGTATTATATTTTTGAGTCTCCACTAATAATTTTGATCCTTTTCATTTCTGGAACTTACAGTTTGTAAGACTTTATGACAGCTAGACTGGATTAAGCTGAAAGTCTATTCAGCCTAGTATCCTGTCTCTGACAGGAGAATGTAGCAGATGCATATCTCAATAAAGGTGACTTTGAAATAACAGAAGAGAAATCAATGGAGAATTTGGAAAGCAGTAGCCTAGTGAATATATGTACTATTGCCTTATAAACACCTACAAATCAAAGAAATAAATGCCAATCTGCAATCTAATCTTCCTCATATCTAATGCCCATCATTGTGTGAGGTTAAAAACAACTATGCAAAGAGAAAGAGAAAATCACATTTATATTTATCATGTTAATGAACCCCTCCAAATAATTTAAAAAATACAGATAGGGACTGTCCCATTTGTTACTATTCCTGTGATGGATGTTCTGTAAGACTTTTTCACTCCATACAGTTCTTGCCATTCATCAAGTCAATGGGTTCTCACATGCAGCTGATTATTAAATGTTATGTCTCCTGACTTAGCCTGGATGGCTCCTTTTGATTTTATCCTCACAGCAGATGTATTTTTGTAATATATCTTAAGGGAGCTGTAGTGGGTCCTAAATTACATGAATGAAAGTTGAAGTATCTGAAACTGAATCTCTTTCTATTACAGTGCCAGCATTTAAACTTCAGTGTAGCTGGCAACTGTATGACAGTGAGTGTTCATTTTCAAAGTATTTGATAAAACATACCTAGTGTTCCCCAGAAACTGCATGTCTGAAGTATTGTCTGGTGATTGCTTTGGTATATATGGTATTGTGGGCTTGGTATGAGTGATATTTTGTGTGAAATTTCCTCTAATGACTATGCTACAAGCACATCAAAGCCAAAACTATGAACTAACATATGCTTACTTTAAAGCATATAGATGATGCAGGTAATGCAATGAAACCTGCAAAAAAAAAAATAGTAAACTGTTTTAGTTCTACTTTGTTAGCCAATAGCTCATAAAATTGAAGTTTTCTTGTGGAAATACATTGATTAGATCAATTTTTAACAAGACAGATTTTCATGCCAAGGATGGATTTCCTAAAAGAGAAAGAAAATCTCTTTTATCTGAAAAGCAATATTTTGACAGAGTTTCTTTTCAAGAAGCCTTTGAAAAGTTTCATTTTCAATACACAACGAAAGAAAGTTTCAGATACTTTGGAATATCCATACCTATTAACTTAAGCATAACCCTATGCATCTGAAAAAGCAGTACATGGGAATTGAGTTTAAAGCACATTTCATATACACATAAACATATGTTACATGTACATAAAGATTAGTATATGATATATAAATATTTTTCAGTTTCTCAGTAGTCTGAAGAAAATGTTATTGTAAACAGATTTTCCAGGATCAATAAACATTTTCTTTTGTTTGAATAGCAGGTTAAAAATGGAATGTAAATTAATATGTGCATTTCTGTGTAATTCTCTCTGAAACATGGAGTTATATTAAGGCTGTAAGTCCCTCTGGCATCAATGTAACTAATCAGATAAATGAGAACAGAGTAGGAATTACAGAACAGCACTGGTCTACAGGTTTTCCCTTCAATAGGGTGGTTATGTGCAGTTTGTGAAAATGCAGGAATAGTCCACTCAGATTTCACAGTCATGCAGTAGCTGAGATCTTGAAGTTTAATAACTAAACTTTTGCCTAGGTACAGTAATTTTTTCCATTTAAAATTAAAAAATGTCTTTATTCTACAAAGTTATGGTTTATTTCTGCTCACAGAGAAGCGGACTATTCAATTACGATTTCTGATAATTTGTGTGTGATTATGCTGAAGCAACTCCATCAGGGCACACAACTTATTTTTACTGACAGCAGAAACAAGTCCTTAATGTCGTTTTGTGACTGCAAGATAGATACAATGAGATCGGAATGATTCTATGTATCAGGTCAATGAACCAGGAGTCAAACAGAACTAGCAGGCAATACTTTAACTGTTCTATAGAAAGAGTAATGAGACACGGCATCTAAAATCTCCTTTTCCAGAAATGCCCAAATAACAATTTCCAAAAGGGTTTTTAACTAATAACATTATCTCTCTTCCAATTAATAGATAATTTTTATTACTAAACAAAGAAACAAATAAAGCAAAGCATTACTAAGAGATACAGTTTTTAAATCTATTTTATTGGAAGATAACTTACTCATTTATACATGTACTTCAAGGCAGAATATGAAAGCAGAAGACATAAAATGGTGTAGGGAGCAGTAGGCTTTGTTTTAAAAATGTGCATAAATGATCCAGTATATTTCCCCTTCGCATGAGCCATTTAATAAAATGATAGCTTATTACACTTTCAATTAACTTAAGTGGCATAATTAGAAAATTACATATTCTGGTTGAATTTTGAAGATCAAAATTCAATGTCAGAAGAAGGAAACATTACTTTTCCCAATTTTGATAGTATCTAATCTAATGGCACCTTTAGTACTTGTGATACTGCAATTGCATCCAGAAAACACCATTTTACATGTGTGTTTCATTTGCTGTGGATTGTTACCTCTTGCAGTCTAAATGTGAAAAGGTCTTTTTTTCAACAAGAAGTAATTTCCTTCAGACTTTCTTCTGAGATTTCAGTAGCTAATAGGAGAGCAAGGAATGTGTATCACTAATCCTTATTCTGCTTCCTGGGAAAGTAAATTATTGTTATTAATGGGTTACAGCAAATGGAAGAAGGAGCAGACCTTATCTGCAGTGGACTGCATCCTATACTTTTGAATATTATAGAAATCATATTGTGTCCTGCTTAGCTTAAAATTTAGCTTCTTTCTTGGCCTTAATTACCAGTAAGAGCCTGAGAACGGAAAAATATTTGGTGGAAATAATCTATTGCATCTGTGCAATGAAAATAAACTGGCTGACGTGAAAGACAAATTAATCTGTAAACACTTTGTTTATAATGACTTAAAGGAAATTGGAAAACTTACTAATGAGTATATTAAAAGCTTTATCAGGAAACTTGTTTCAGCAGAATCTTATGAACATTTTCAGGTTGTCTTAGAAGGTTACAGTAGAAGTCTTTGCACATTTCATATATTTTGATAACTGTAAATTCCTCTGTCACATTAAAACACTAAAATAATGGAGAGCAATACTTTTTCTCATTTGACATTAAAATGTGACAGCAGGTCAATAACTGCCAGGAACTTAATATTTTAAGTGGTACAGCAGCAGGGAAGAGAAAACAGCATTGTGCTAAAAGCTGAAACAATGCTGGAAATACAGTAAGATGCCCAGTAACCTTATTGACAAACCAAGCTCCTGTTTGTATTAAACAAATACCTTGTCTCTGGGTAGAAGTGGAGTAATATAACATACAGAGGAGTATGGACATGAATTAAAAAAAAAAAAAAAAAAAAAAAAAGAGCAGTCACAGCTAAAAACCCTTTCATAAGCAGCACAAAATACTGGAAAATGTCGAAGGATTGTACCAGCTCCAGATACAGACCTCTGTAAAGGGCACACTCCATCCCCAGAGTGGGTGTTCATCTTACATCCTCTGCAGAGCTGCAGTGAGAAAACATGACAAAATAATCAATGGAAGCTACCAGAATTAATGTTGGATGAGGTAGAAAATAACAAAATAGACCCATTTTTCTTTAAAATTCAAGCAAATATTATGATGGTGTCCAAGGAATTAGCACAACTTCTGCAAAGACCTGCAAATACAAGTATGTTAACATTTTTTTCACAAGGTGTAAGCTATGATCAAAGGTTGCAACGTCACAAATAAGACAGCACCTCTCTTTCCACCAATGAATTAGCTCATTCTCTTTTATCAATGACTAATTCAGTGCCAGGATTTCAGAAAAACTCTGGAGATTCCCTGGCCAATAATAACCTAGTCTGAGAAGGAACCGGATGACATTTTCCAAAATAAAGGGAAAATTTCTCTGTAAAACTGATTTTTTTTTTTTCCTTAATTTTAAATTTCCAGGTCAACAATATATTGAACAACACTGCAAGTGCACTAACTTCATCCTCATCTCAGAGGAAGGAAAACATAAATTGCATGGCTGGTATCACATCCTGCTTCATGCACAGGTGTCTTTGATGTTCTTTGAGTGAGTGACAAGCCAAAGTTAAACATTATTCTGAAAAATTTTTCTGCAAGATTGATGTCAATAAAAAGTGCTATATACAGTACTAGTTTGAAAGCCTTTTTTTGCTTCCTGTTTACCTGATACAGCATTTGCTCTGTTTCTGGAAGCCTACTGTACTCCCCAAGTTGGCAGCAGTGTCTTTATTGTTTTTGTGATCACTATCACATCGTATCAAACAAGTATGACCTTTAATAAAATAAACCATATTTATTTAACTTACAAGTTTTATTTTTCCTAATCTTCCTTGAAAGTTTGATGAACTTTTCAAAAGATATGTTTTGGTTTATGATTGGACATGATCTTTCTTCGGTACAACTTCTAGTAGTTTTGTCTTACTCCATTTAGAGCTATTTTGCCAAGTATTTGCTTTGGTATCATGAAAAAAGCCGATATCAATAGAGTAAATAAATGTCAAGAAAAGGAGCAATATAAGGAATAAGAGGGTGAAAATGGCTTAAAGAAAGTAACAGAACTCCAGACAACCAATTTCTTTCTTTTGAGGAACAGAATAACCATCCATATCTAAAGAGAGTTTCATAGGCTGCAGCTTTTGAGGAACAGAATAACCATCCATATCTAAAGAGAGTTTCATAGGCTGCAGCTGTAAGTCTTCCTCAGTGGCTGTTTTCTTAGAAAATCTTGTCAATTTGATTAGAATGGTATTTTTTTCATGGAATTTTAATGAAATATATATATATAAAAAAGAGAGTGAACAGTGAAAATGAATGCTGGAGATGCATAAGATATATTGAACTGCCAAATTTTTGAGAACTTGCCTGTTACAAGAGGAGTAAAAATTAAATAATTAAAATAGTAAATCAGAGATGAACCTCTCAATACTTCTATTTATCTATCAATTTTTTTTACATCTGTCACATACTACAGGCTGTAAAGAGTATCTCAATACTACTTGTCTACTCTTTTTATATCAGAAGCTCAGTTCTTACTGTGTGCATAATTCTGGGACAATAGAGTAGTAAATATAACTGTATCCATATATTCTGCCCTAGCTCCATATAGTTTTTCATCACAAGTGCTAAACACTTCTGAAAAACATATGTTATTTATTTCTTTGTTTCTATGGCTCATACACTTACCTGAAAATATAGAAGGAGTTGCAATCATTTTGATGTAGAGGTTATCATTTCTAGTGAGAGCTTCTATCCGTTGTCATTGTTTGCAGTGTGACACTGAACAAAGAATGACAGAAAGATTAGTTTTATACAAAATTCAGGATATTCTTCACTGAATGACAGCTATGGAGCACACAATTTGCAAGATAATAATAGTAATGTGATTATTTCAAATGCCAGACTGAGGGCACTTTAAAAATAACTGTCCAAAACACTGAAAGTTTAGGATAGATGTCTGAAAGTGTGTTCCAGAGATAGTTTCAAATGTCTGTGTTTCAGAACCTGTTGTTTCACTCAAGAAAAATGAGCTGTTACTTCAAGAGACAGACCACACATAAAACCAGAAGAGGGAGAAACAACAGCACTGGCAACACCATAAACCTTACAGATGAAAGAAATGAACCACCTGTTTTTTAATGAATTTTATAGTTATGTATATTGCTTTGCACAAAACCAGAAATTAGATAGTATAGATATAAGCTCATAAAAAAAATGATAACACCATGCTTTCTGCTTGTTCTACACACAGAAGAGAGCTACACATGTTCCTCCATGTTTTTTTGTTCTTGAAAGAATCATGCTCATGATCCCCTTGTAATAAGTTTTGTTAAAATACATCATTCTTTCCTTTAAAGAACAAGGAGGGACAGCTGTTTGCCTGCAGACAATCCTGTGTGCCCATTTGAGGGAAGCAGTATTGTTGAGGCAGGTGCCTGCACTTTTTCCATCACTGCATCCTACTATATCCTATCTCGTAGCACCAAGACACCTGACACAGCTCATGACCTGTGTTTGATGAGGTTTTGCTTGAAAGCCACACTTTCCCTAAGCAGCACTAATGCCAGGAGAATGTTTTTTGTGGTAGGAAAACATCACTGAAACTATTTCCCATGTGGGTGATTTTCCCATAGATATGAATTCAGGGATCCAAGCAAGATCTCTTTCTGGAGAGCAAAAGTGTAATGTCAGCTTTCCTGCCTGGGGCAGTGGATACAGTGGAGTTGAACAGCAGCTGCCAGGGCCAAAGGGCTGGTGTGCTACTGATGCAAATGAGAGTCACAGCTCTCTGGTGTGGGGAAACCACAGGAGTCATCTGAAAAACATTTGCATGACACAGGACTTGCAGCATATCCTGAGCCAAGATGTAGATGTTACTCTTTATCAGGTAAAGTGACAGTAACATGTAGATCAGGTCGTGAGTTTTCTTTCAGTGGGATAATGAAATTTCCAATAGATAAGCCTCTCTAACCTCATGGTGGGGGGGGGGGTGGATTATGAAGTTAATTTTACGATAAATGAACTCCAATTACTTGTAGACACTAAACTGAAGAGACTGGTATCAAGTCATTATCACAGATCAGTAATGTCTTCACTCATATCTGTTTTCCACTGAAAGCTGAATTTGGACACAATCAGATTTGTAATACACAGCCAGGATTGCAAATTTTACATTGGGTAGACTGAGTCAGACTTTCATAAAGGAAATAAAAATTATAAAAATGTAGGTTGACTGACATACCAGGAATCCCTGGTTGCTATTCCAACATAAAATGCAACTAGATATGTGCTGACATGCAAAGAGATCAAAGTATTCACTAAGCCACATCTTTGCTTAAAAATTAAATGAATCTACAGAGGTACTATCCTGGAAAAAAAAAAGGCATAAAGTCTCCTGCAGTAAGATAAAACAAATTATCCAACATTCTGTGAAATAATTAGAATATCCTACAAAGAATTGCTGGCTGTTGGAATTTTGTACATGGTAATTTCCATATTTTATTTAAAATACTGCTGAACCTGATGAATATTTTAAATATTTTAATCACAATAAAATAGCAACTTTTTTTCTACTATAGTTTTATTACTTACTTACAAACTTTTAGCTTATATCAGCAAGTAACAGTGCTGACACTAAAACGGGTCCAGGACATAAGCAGAAGTTGATCCACATGGAGCTGAAAAATTTCAGGCAGGTACTTCCCTGTATGTAAGCATCAAGTTAAATCAGTGTGTGCAAGTCAGCCCTCAGAGACCTCCAAGAGAAGACGAGATCAGACACATCAGAAGCTGGTTCTTGCTTTCTGTGTAAGGGTCTCCATCACCACTTCAAAATGTCTTGGTCTTGCAACAAGTCCGTATGCTCAGAAGCTGACCACAGTACAGAAATCCATAGAGTCTGTTCTAGAAAATACAGCCCAGAAGAAGTTGAAGAGGAGCTTCAAATGAAACATGTACTGTTCATACCATTGAAGTATATCTTTTAACTTTTTGATGTTGGTGCTTGTGGTTGGAATACTTTGGCAAGATGATGTATTCTAATTATCAGAATTTATTATTATTAACATTAATTTGTATTTCATCAGCACTTTTTATACATTAATCTGTATTTTATCAGCAGTATCTGAAGAAGGTATCTGAGTTATCTTAAGGGCCTGCACAAGTGGTGAGTTAAAGATAATTGTAGCAGTACTGAGACTCAGGTAATTTCCTATTATTCACCACTGCTGTAGTGTGTTGATTTCCCTTCACTTTCTGAGGCTAATCTGTGATTTTACTTGATTTTGGAAGCATTCTAGCCTGCAACTGAGGCACGGTGGACTTGCAAAACCCCTTGTGTGTGATTCATAGGAAACAGGAAAGAAGTGATTGGCAAACTTCAGCTCCATTCTGTAACAGTACTATCTGCTTAGCTTGTCTGGGATCAGAAACTCCAAGACAGCCCACGACTAAAGAATTTATCCAAATACTGTGTGGCTGGGCTAGAGGTGTCTGTCTGTCTGCCTTCCTTTAGAATAACCTAGGCTTGTCAGGCCACGGTGATTTATCTGCAGCTGACTTTTATTAACTGACCTTGTCATAGTAGCCTGTATTTTGATAATGCAAACCACTATCTTTTAACTACAATATGCAACATGAAGCTGACGGACTGAAGCCTTTTCATCCTTCAGAAACTTATTCCTATTCAGAGCTCCAGTCTCCCCCAGGGCGCCATTCAATGTAATTGTTTTTTAGATGGCTTCAGTGATTTTGCTTTAATAGAAATGCCCGCTAGGATGCTCCATGTATTTATAATTTTATCCAGGAAAAATTCTTCATCGTTTCTGTTTGGAGTTTGTTTTTTAGAATCTTTTTTCTAGAAGCTAAGAAAAATTGAAATTTTTGATTCTATATATGTGTCATTTTTTTTGATTATGATTCACCGAGAATTCTTATATAGATGGGAATATGTTTTCCAGAATGCTTTACCAGTAATGCAGAAGTAGCTTTATCAGTTATGAAAAACTGAATTCTTCTCTCTGTGGAGCGAATCCAAGGCTTTCTGTAAGATACTGATGTGTCCTGAGAGATGAAGGCATCTAGATCTCCCTGAAATGTCCAGGATACAAATTTGATAGAAGGGTATAATTTCCAGGTCACTAAATTATCAGTGTCTAAAAAAATAAACCTGGCTGTTACAATAGCTTGCCTGCCACATCCAGGTCCCGAAGCAATATTTTCTAAAAAGTTGGGAAATAGAAAGAGAATGAATACCTGGGAGCTATGATGGAGGTTATGACTTGGGCAGAGTTCGTGATTCCTGCAGCATTTCCACAGAGCTGCTGTTGCTTTGAGATAAATGCACAAAGCAATTTAGGTGTTACAGTGCTGCAATCAAAAGATCATATTGAAAATTAAAAACTGCTAAAGCCCAGTTCAAACCAGCCTAAAACTCGTTTTTATATGGCTCTGAACTAGAGTGAAGCTCTTCATTGAAGAAAAACTGAAGCTAAATCTGCAGTAATTCTCCAGTATTATAGTTCAGCTAAAAACATGATGATTCCAAGGGCAGATGGCTTGGATGCTTTCTCTGTGTTTATATGCACTTCTGTTCCATAAGGAAATTCTTTCCCCCAAGCAAGAGTTTGCGTAG